ATTAGGTTTTCATTGCTTAACGCATGGTAAATATTCAGCGAATATTTTTTCCCCATCATAAATAATCACCTGAAAATTCCCATGCCTCTCTAAGTCTTTTTCTGTTTTTCTTTTAAATTACAGACAGAAAAATTCACTCTCTTGACGTATAGTTCTATGATTTTGAAAAATGCATGGTGTTGTGTTACAACCACCACAATCAAGATTCAAACAATATCATCACTCTTCCCCCAAAATCTCTCATGCTTTTTAAAAACTCCTTTGCAGTCAATCCTTGCCCACACTCCTAAACTCTGGCAGTAGCTGATAGTTCTATATCCCTGTATGTTTGCCTTTTCCAGAAGGTCATATTGTGTTGGAGGTCCCCAACACACTCCTACTTTTGGAGACTTGCAAGAAGGACTCAGGGGACTTAGCATATAATTGTGGCCGTGGCTAAGATTTATTATAGCAAAGTAGTAAGGATACATAGCTAGATAATAAAGGGATAAGATCCAGGCAGATTTTGGAGGTGTCCATGTGCAGACATCCTTCTGCTCTCTCCCTCCACCAGAGCTCATTCTTCTCTCAGCAACAGAGAGGAAGCTTTCCGTGTGGGATATTTCTGCACAAAGAAACCTATTAGAGTCTCAATGCCCAAGAGTTTAATTGTGCACAGATCAAAAAGTACCAGTAATGTTACAGATTCCTGGAAGGAAAACATGTTCAGTAAAAACCACGTTGTTTGTACAAACAGTCTGGGCACAGTGAGCCAATCTTATTAGTTAGGGAACGGTGGGAACACTTCCGAAATGCAAGTTCCCAGATTTGGTGTCAGGGTAAAGCTGATTTCATAAAATGAGTGGAGAAGTGTTCCCTCTTCTTTTTAAATTCTTTCACTGTCTCTCTCTCTGCCTCTCTTCTGGAGAGATTCCATAGAGTTGGTATTATTTCTTCCTTACAAGATTGATGGATTCACCAGTGAAATTCTATGAACAAGGAGTTTTCATTGTTGGAAGCATTTTAATCACGAAACTTATTTTTCATTAGTTTATGTGGCTATTCAGGTGATTCGTTTCTTTTTGAGCAAGTTTTAGCATGTTTTGCCTTTTAAGGAACAGATACATTTCATCTAAGTTGTTGAATTTATGGGCATGATATTGTTCTTTGTGTTCCTTTAATATCCTTGTGATGATTGTAGGGTCTGCAATGATGTACCTCTTTTATTCCTACAATTGGTAAAATGTGTCATCTTTCTGTTTTTTTGTCAGTCTTGCTAGAGGTTTCTCAATTTAGTTGAATTTTTCATAGAGCCAGCTTTTGGTTTCATTTATTTTGCCTATTTTCTGTTTTAAATTATATTGATTCCAACTGTTAGCTGTATTGTTTCCTTTTTCTTTCTATTGTACTTCTTTACTAATTATTTTGGATGAAGCTTCGATTACTGATTTGAGAACTTTCTTCATTTCAATATAAAATTGACTGCTATAAATTTCCCTTTAAGCACTGCTTTATTTGCATCTCACAAATTTTGATACCTTTGATTTCCATTTTTATTCAGTTCAAAATATTTTTATCGTTCCTAGAAATTATTTCATAGACACACACACATACACACTTATGTTTGAAGTGATTTTCTTATAAATAATGTATAGATAGGTGTGATGTTAGGCAATTTGACTATCTTTTAATTGTGTATTGAGATATTTACACATTATTTAATTATTGATATGGTTGGAATTAGTTCTACTGTTTTATTATTTGTTTCTGTTTTCCATTTCTCAGTTTCCACTTTGCTGTCTTATTTTGTATTATTTGAATATTTTTAATATTTTTAATATTAGAGTGTAATTTATCTAGTGGCAATATACATAACTAATTTTGGACCCCATTCTCAGAGCTAGTATTTTGCTACTTTAGCTAAAAGGCATAGTCCTTAAAAACTTATGTGACCCCTTTCCATTTCCTCTTCCTGTTACACTTATCATATATATTATATCAATATAACTTCAGCCCCCTCATTCAATACTATAACTTTTTGCTTCCAACAGTTACGTGTATTTTAAAAACCTTAGGAGAAGAAAAAGAATTCATTTTATTTATCCAAATGCATACGATTTTCTACTGCTTCTCCTTTATTTCTGAAGTTCCAAGCATCTCTTTAGTATTGTTTTCCTTTAGCATTTCTACTGGAAAAGATCTCCTGGACACAAATTCTCTTAGTTTTCCTTCATTTGAAAAAGTTTTTATTTCACTTTGCTCCTGAAGGATATTGTTGCTGGGCATAGAATATTGGATTCTTTCCTATCAGCATTTTAGGTATATTTTTCTCTGTCTTTTGGACTCTATTATTTCTGATGAGAAATCCACAGTAATTTGAATTGCTATTCTCTATATGTAATATGTTGTTTATCTCTAGCTGCTTTCAAGAATTTTTCCCTTTTTGATTAACAGAAGCTTGATTATGATGTACAAGGACATAATTTTCTTTGAGTTTATTTCAATTGAGATTTATAACTTCTTGACTCTATAAATTTATGACTTTTACCAAATCTAGTACATTTTCAACCATTATTTCTTCAAATACAATTTCTGCACCAATATATTTTTCTGCTCCATTTGAGATTCCAATGCCATGAATGTTGGAACTTTTGGTATGTCCCACAAATTCCTGAGACTCTATTCATATTTGAAATTGTATTTCTTTGGTTTTTCAGATTCAATAGTTTCTAGTGATTTATCGTTAAGTTTTCTGACTCTTTTCTGTTATATCTCAATTATGTTATTGGACCAATCCAATGAATTTGTGTGTGTGTGGGTGTGTGAAGAATATTGGCCCTGAGCTAACATCTGTTGGCAATCTTCCTCTTTTTGCTTGAGGAAGATTGGCCCTGAGCTAACATCTGTGCCAATTTTCCTCTTTTTGCTTAAGGAAGATTGTCACTGAGCTAACATGTGTGACAATCTTTCTGTGCTTTATGTGGGATGCCACCACAGCTTGGCTTGATGAGTGGTGCTAAATCTGTGCCTGGGATCTGAACATGCAAACCCCAGGCTGCCAAAGTGGAGCACTTGAACTTAACCATTATGCCACTTGGTCAGCCTCTAGTGAATTGTTTTTTTTTTTTTTTCACTTTCAGATATTGTACTTTTTAGTTACAAAATTTTCACTTGGTAGTTTTTAGATTTCTATTTCTCTGTTGAAGATATCTATTTTTTCCCATTCAGTTTGAGTGATTATCATTACCCCATGGATCATGGTTATAACAGCTTCTTAAAAGTCTTTGCTCAATAATTTTGGGGTTGGCATCTGTATCAGTTATCTACTGTTGTTACAAAAAACGTAACAGCTTAAAAGCACATGCTTGTTATCACATATTTCCTGTTGGTTTGTACTCTAGGCACAACAGCCGGGCATTATGCTTAAGAAATTTTCACAAGGTGGCAATCAAGGTGTCAGCTGAGTCTGTGGTTTTATCTCGAAGATTGATTGGGGAAGGATCCATTTCTAAGTCCACGTGGTTTTTGGCACAATTCAGTGACTTGCAGGTTGTGGGACTAAGGGCCTCAGTTTCTTGCTGGCTGTTGACCAGAGGCCACTTCTGATTTCTTCCCGAGTGGGTTTCTCCATCGAGTAGCTCACAATATACCTGTTTTCTCAATCAAAGCCTCAAAGAAGAAAGTATGCAAGAAAGATGTAACTTTTGATCATATGTAACATAATCATGAAGGTTAAATCCTATTACCCTTTCTATACTTTATTGATTAGAAGCCTGTCACACTCAAGGAGAGAGGATAATACAAAGGTGTGAATATCAGTTGATGAGGAAAATTGGGGGCCATCTTAGTCTATACACCACAGCATCTCTCAGTTGTTTTTTCCTTGAAGAACTGAACAATTACTAGTTCTTATATGTAATGTGATTTTGTAATGTGTCCTGAAAATTTTGAATATTATGGTGTCATTCTCTGGAGCTTGTTAAAAATCTTGAGAGCCTGTTATTTGCTGTTTTGTTTCATCAAGAGATTAGCCAGGTAAGATTCATTCTACTGCAATTTGTCTTATATTCATGATTGACTATGTTATACATATCAAAGCCAAAGAAGGAACCTAAAGCTTGAAGGTAAGATTTAATACATTTGGCTATGCTCATATAACATCTTGTCAGGCTGCAATATCACCTATCCATGATGAACCCATAAAAATCTGGGTCAAATAACCATCTGAAATAATGATATTAACCTATGTCTTTGGCAGATTCTAAATATTTTAAATAGGGCAACCAGGCAAGCTAAACCATGTTACTTTTCCCTCCACTCCTAAACAAGATTTTCCTTTCCTGATCTGAATGGTTCATAGGGCCTATGAGCAACTAAATGTAAGTGAAGACTGGGGGTCTGTTTGGATTCTAGTGGAGAGAATTAGTATAGGGCTTTCTGCATTGTGGCTTTGACAAACACCTGAAAAAAAAAGTCATCCCATATATCCTCTCTAACCATTATAAATGAAAATCCTTAACAATATCAGCACTCATAGACAGCTGGTCAGACAGGGAAAGGTCAACTTCAGTCTGCTATGCCATGTCCCTGTTGAGACTGGAGGCAGCCTGATGTACCAATTAAAAGATTGTACCAATCCATAGAGCAAAAAAATACAAAGAGCTGAAATCATCATAAGAAATAAAAGAGTATTTCCCTCTCTTTATCAGGCCAAACTGAGATTTATAAAGGTCACAGGTTTTTCTGAAGTCATGAATCTGGAAATCAGTACTGCACAGAAAAGAGAAATATTGAGAAAAAATATTTCCCAAAGAAAAGTAACTATTACCCTACTAACAACCAAAAAAGCAAAGGCATACTCTGCCTAATAAATGAATAGAAGTGAAACCAGTTTTCTCTTCCAGATTTATTAGGAAACCCAAAAGTTTTAGACAAACAGGTAAGCAAATTAAGCATAAAATTACAAAAATAGGAGCTATACCAAATCATCTTGATGTAACATGGAACATGAGTTCATAGGATGAATTTCATATTCTCCCAGGTATCAAGTGGCATCAGATCCAGATATCAAGTCTTTAGCAAATCATATCACAAGTTTATACTATAGTGTAGAATAAACATCACCTCAGGGCGAGGCACAGAACTTCTGGGGTTCAGAAATGGTCAATCATTAAGTGAAGGTTTGGAGGATGAGAGTCTCCCATGGCGTCCTTAATAATAGTAGCCAAAGCCAGAGCCATAGCCAGAGTTGCTTCCATAGCTGCAGCCACAGAGAGAGCGGGAGCCATATCCATAGCCACAGCCCAGTCTGCGGAAGCCACAACCATAGTAGGAGCCATAGCCACAGCCCAGGCCTCCATAGCCACAGCATCCATAGCCACGGCTCCCATAGTAGTTTCCGTAGTACCCACACATGGTGTTGGTTGTTGAGGTTGTTCTTGGGGTTAGAAGGAGAGTAGAAGTGTCACTTCAGTCTGGACATTTCTCCCCGCAGAGGGCTTTTTATATGCCTTCGGTGTGGGTGGGACCAACCACATGTGCTTATGTCATTGGCTAATTCTATGACTTATTTAATTAGTTTGTTTATCCTCAACCATAAGATAAAGCCTTAGAGGATTTCAGGAAGCTTGCTGAGTTTGGTTTCTCTGTGTGGGTGGGATCCTCTGCATGTGCTCATGTCATTGGCTGATTTGCAGGACCAATGTGAGTAATTTGTTGACTCCTGGTTTTAGGCATGGCTTCATAGGCAATGAGGACGTCTACCTTGTTTCTCCACATCTGAACCAGTTTGTGGACCATTAAGGAGAATCAATTTTCTCATCTTCAACGCCTTACTCATGAGATCTTCAAATTGCCCTTTGTAGCCAATCTTTATGGCAAGAAATAGCATTTTATTGAAAAGTTCTGACCTGCTCAAACAATAATTTTAACTTCTTTTTGTTAACATTCAACAGATCATAGTATTCTATGTTGACCCTGAACTTCTCTGTCTATTACTTCCTGTTCCAAACCCATTATTTTCCTTTTGGTATCCTCATTTTCACGTGAGAGGTTTAGTATTAAAAGATAAAAAGTTGTCACTCAGCTTCACGAGGCTTTTGACAAAAAGCTAATAGTTTGAAATACTAGAACGCCAGGTCAGAGAAACTAGACTTTTCTTTCTCATTTACAATAATATTTCTTAAACTTTTAACACTGTTTTTTGTGTTTTTTTCTGAGAAGGTTTGCCCGTGAGCTAACATCCTTTGTCAATCTTCCTCTTTCTTCTTGAGGAAGATCGTCACTGAGCTAACATCTTTAACACTCTATTTTTAAAGTATGAAATATGTTTCCTGTAGTTTCGAATTTATATCCCAAATCTATGGTCAGAAAAAAAGGTAGTGACGAGATTTCATTTGATTTGTGAAATCACATTTTCATGAAATGATTCTTTTAAACTTCACATGTTTGTGCTTTTTGTGATCTGACTGGAAAGTGAGTATAGCATTTGTTTTCTTGAAACAATCATACTGGCAGGGATATCTTTTCATGAAACCTACTAGATTTTCCCTAACGAACAGGTTTTTGGTAAAATATCCCACGCTGTGCAAATATAAGAAATACATTATTATTATTATTATTTTTATTACTACTACTACAATAGAGCTCCTAGTTGGATTCAATGAGTAAGTCAAATAACACTCCGAACTTTAATGTTACTAGTGAAATCAATTCCTAGGAGTCAGAAGAGCATAGTAGATAAGAATAAAATGTGTGCTACTGTACGTTTTCACATATTCACTCAAATTTTCTTTGGTAAAAAGTTCTAATTTTATTTTTCATTAAATATAACCTCCTTTGGAAGCACATTTTACAAATACATATTCATTTATCTCCACGATTTCTTTGTGTGAACATATGAATATTGTGTGTGTGTTTGTGGGTTGTGTGCTCTTGTGTATGTGTGTGCGTGTGTGTGTGTTTATGTGTACAGCTGCTGCTCTTCTATCAAGGGTGGGGGGCACTTTCAGAGGCATCAAACCCTTGTGACTTGCAGAGAAACAGCCCTCGTTCTAAATGTCTCTCAGGCTTGCAGTACGAGGCCACCAGCGTGACTGAAATGATGAATGCAGAAGAATATGACTGAGGCACTGACAAGAATTTCCTATAAAAATCTTGAGAGTGTTGCTTGCTGACATACCGACAAAAAGATAGGATAAAAGAAAAATACAATAGCTTAGGATTCTTTGTATAAGAAAGAAAATCTCACCTAGGAAGAAGATGGAAGGAATCTGAAGTAGAACATCAATAAACATGTACATAAAATCTTTTACACGGAATTAGAAATGACTAGCTCTGCTCTCCACACTAAGTTGCCTTTGAGAATGATGAATATTCCTAACTAGGCAAACTAAAATGTGAAAATTTAAATATTTTCCTTTAAGGTTGTCTGTGTATAAGATATTCATGTATAAGATATTTATATATAACATATTTACATATAAAGTTCTGATAGAATAAATCTCTAGTCTCAGTATTGAGTATGTATACATGATTTCTTTTTAAGAACAGAATCATATGAAAGTGACTAGCTATTCAAAACCAGGATATCAATCTGAGAACTCAGAATGAGCCTCCCCTTTGACATGGTACTACTACAAGAGAAAGGAGAACACTTTTAAAACATTTTTAAAAAATTAAATTAAAATTTAAAAAAATTTAAAGTTCAGTAATGTTTAGGGGCTACGTAATTTATACAAGTGTAACAGGCATACATGAAAATGGCAAAATCTGCAAAGAGGAAATATATATTTGCTATGAAAGAGTTGAGTTCCAAATGTAAATGTTAATTAGAGGAAAAAATATTAATACGAGTTGGGGCAATTTCAGAAATTCTAGAATTTGGAACAAAAGCGTAATAAGAAAAATTTTACAAAAATGTAAGAGATGTGCATAACAGATTGAGTATGATGTGATTAGGTTCTTATATATTTCCATGTTGATAAAGCTTTGCAATCTCCAAATTGAAGGGAATTATTAATGGTAAAGAATTGCACTATTTAAATTTGCTTCAGTTAGAAGAATTTAGGTTCAATAAAATTTAAAGTAAATAAAACAAAAGACTATTATTTTTAGTTCTTGTCATATCCCAGATAAAGGCAGATATTTTGCCTTATAGAGAGCATCAATAATAGAGAATCTCATGAGATCCAACCTAGGAATTACCTTCTATGTTCTTCTACATTATTTGGCTCCTAAAAGAGAAGCCAACCTCTAGTGCTGTGCTTTGCCTGTGAGTAGTCCCTCCTTATCTGTAGTTTCACTTCCCTTGATTTTGGTTACCAGAGGCCAATCATGGTACAAAAATATTAAATGGACAATTCCAGAGATTAAAAATTCATAAGTTTTCAACTGTGCACAATTCTGAGTAGCATGATGAAATCTCACGCTGTCCCACTCCATCCTGCCCGGGACATGAATCTTTCCTTGGTCCAGTGTATCCATGCTGTACACACTACCTGCCTATCGGTCAGTTAGTAGCTGTCCGGATTATCAGATCTACTATCATGATACCACAGTGTTCGTGTTCAAGTAACCTTTATTTTACTTAATAATGGCACCAAAGCATAATAGTAATGATGCTGGCAACTCAATATGCCAAAGAGAAGTCTAAAGTGCTTCTTTTAAGTGAAAAAGTGAAAGTTCTCAATTTAATAAGGAAAGAAAAAAATCATATGGTAAAGTTACTAAGATTTACGGTAACTTTTATTACAGTATATTGTTATAATTGTTCTATTTTATTATTAGTTGTTGCTGTTAATCTCTTACTATACCTAATTTATAAGTTAAACTTTATCATAGGTGTGTATGGGAAAAAAGTAGTACGTACAGAGTTTGGTACTATCCATGGATTCAAGCATCCACTAGGGGTCTTGGAATGTATCCCCCAAGGTTAAATGGGGATTACTGTATATACCTACCAGCTTATTAGAGAGCCTGGAAGTTGCTATCCCTATTATAATGATAATGGATTATTTATAATAGAAATCCACAAATTTAGACTGATATAAATAAATGAACAACGCTATTATAATGATAATGGATTATTTATAATAGAAATCCACAAATTTAGACTGATATAAATAAATGAACAATCAGGTGGAAAGGAAAATGTCCTTGCAATAGAATGCTGGCTAATATATTTGAACTAAAAGGATGAAAATCAGACAAATGAACATTTGCAATCTATCATCATAATAAATATTTCAGGCAAGAAAAAAAGAAATACTAACACGAGTGGCAAATTTTGGGATATGAATGAAATATTTATATAGTCACAAAATATTTCCACCAAAATGTCTCTTAATTGCTAAAAGAATAATAAAAGTAATTTTTGAGTAGAGAAATCTCGTGCTCACCATATTGATCAAGTGATCAAAGTTATCACCATCAGTAATGGAACGAATTAACTTTGGTGCCTATCAATAAGGTACAATAAAAAGCAAACATCGGTTGATGAGCCTTTGGGTTGCTTGCCAGTCAAGTGCTCATCAACAGATGAATGGATAAAGAAAATATGGTATACATATATACAATGGAATACTACTCAGCCATAAAAAAGACAAAACCATGCCATTTGCATGAACTCTATAAATAAAATAAATAGCATAACTACTCAGGAAGAAAATTAATTCATATAAATATTGAGAACAATGCTCTATCCATTCTTAATGGGATACTTTCTAATGCTTAAAAGTACTGCTAAGAAACGTCATCTGGTTTCTCATGGGTATTGCTTTCAGTGTGGTAATTCAGAGTGTATTTTGTGTGGAGGGTTGAATAGAGTAATTGTAGTGATGTCATTGGAGTCCAGAGTTTTCTCTGTAAGGAAACAGAGCCTGTGGAATAGGGTAAAACGTAAGAGAATATTGTGTTTTTCAATTTCAGCTGGAGTTATTCATAATTTGAAGACTTTAAGGAAGTGAACAAGCCAATGTGAGTACAGACTGGATGTTTGTTTGGGGCTGTTAGTGGTGGCATTTAACTGCAAGTTAAACATGTTAGAGTGACTAAGAACATCAACCAATTTTACTCACATTGAAATGTGTATGAGGGGCAGATCCTGGAAAATTATAATTAACAACCATCTTGTCTTGTGAGTCTATAATTAAGGGTTTATCATCTAATTTAAGTCAGTATCTTATATGACTTACCAGGTAGGACAAAATAGTTTTAAAATATACTATTTCTTGAATGAGCAACATAAACCATCTGGTTTTTGCATAATAATGAATAGAAAATTCTAACCTTCAGGAGTAAAGCAAATGGGACAGACAAATCTTCATACAAGAATGGCTTTACAGAAAAATTGCTCTCTTTGGGTTCTGATCTGTCCAGGGATCTTAATTCCTTTTCGTGGCTTCAAGGTTTTTTAGTACCCTGAACCAGTCAAAATGAATTGGGACCTATCCATTATCTGACCCTGAAACATACTACTTAAACTCATCTATGCCCAACCCAAGAGCTTGAAATCCCTTATCAAGAGAAGATAATTGCCAAGTTTACAGATACATTAGTAATAGAAAATGAGTGGAAAAAGCAGATGATTACAGCGACAACTGTGAAATCACAGAAATCACAGGAAAGCAAAATCTTAAGACAAACAAGAGCATCGAAGGCCATCAAATGGCTCTAAACTTAAATACGAATGGATGTTAGAAAAGGTGTTACTTTTAAAAAAAAATCCAAATTTCAAGGCACATAACAGTTAGGTAGAGGTAGAGTAGGTTTAAACTTCTCTACCTTTTATGTTGGGGAAGCATAGGAAACACTCTAAATATCTCCCAGCAAAGATTAGAATTGAACAATTATGTGTCAACTTTCATGTCTTCTAAAGGATTTCACACAGATGAAGTTTCGGTGTAGAAGTACTTGGAACACGTAGTGTTTCCAGGCAATGCTTAACTAAATTGACAAACATTACCTCCTTCAATCGTAACAATAACCCAAAATAACACATATTATCACTGCTTTACCAGAGTAGAAAAATAAGAACTACAAGATTGTTACTTCCTTAATGTCACAAATCAAGGATTTTGTAGAGCAACTGAATTAGAAATATTAAAAAGAAATCCCTTAAATAAGACAAATTGTTTCCTTTAATTCAAGTGGGGAGGGGGGGGAAGACCAAATGACAAATACTGGACATTAAAGGAAAAGAAAACCAGGTTTATTATTCCACATTGAACAGGTTTATTAAGACAATAGAAAAACAGCTCCTGCATAAAAGTTGAAAGGCAGGGTCTGTGACAGCATCATTCCAACAAGAGACCACACAGGAGTTCTCAGGATGAATTTCACATGAGTTAAATATAGGAAAGGAAAAGATTGGTGTGTCAGATCCAGAGGGCACCAAAAGGCAAATCTTCAGCAAGGCTCAGAACATGTGGGACTCAGAATTGGTGAATCCTGGTGTCCAGGTGTAAAGGGTGAGAGTCTCTCATGGTGTCTTCAATAGTAGTAGCCAAAGCCGGAGCCATAGCCAAAGCCGCATCCGTAGCCGCAGCCATAGAGAGAGGGGTAGCCATATCCATAGCCACAGCCCAGTCTACGGAAGCCACAGCCATAGCAGGAGCCATAGCCACTGCCCAGGCCTCCATAGCCACAGCATCCATAGCCACGGCCCCCATAGTAGTTTCTGTAGTAGCCACACATGGTGTTGGTTGTTGAGGTTGTGCCTGGGTAGAGAAGGAGAGTAGAAAGTGTCACTTCACTGTGGACATTTCTCCCTGCAGAGGCCTTTTATATGCCCTCAATGTGGGTGGGACCCACCACATGTGCTTATGTCATTGGCTAATTCTATGACTGATTTAATTAGTTTGTTTATCCTCAACCATAAGATAAAGCCTTAGAGGAATTCAGGAAGCTTGCTGAGTTTGGTCTCTCTGTTTACCCCTCCCTCATCCAACTGAGGGCTTTAAAGAGAGGAGATGCACACTCACACCTACACAGTCCTGCCACAAATTAGACTTGCATTTTAACCTCCTGTAACCATTCTTTATATCAAGAAAATACATTTGTTAGTCTCAATCTTACCTGCTCTTGGCCCCAGTTAGTTTCACAATTTTTTTAACATTTTATTAAATAACACTCCTTCTGACTCATGAGTTTTTCTTCTCTTAATCCAAATTATCTTCAGGGTTTCACTTCCTTTTCTATACTGAACCATAATGTATCTTTCATCCCCATGATGTTGATAATAACCTAGCTAATTAAATTTTCCAAAAAATCAAGTCTGAGCAAAATGTAGTATACTTTTCTATTTATAGCAATAAGTCTAATTCTCATTTATGTTCAATTTTTACTGAAGGAGTACAAAACAGAAGTTATTCCTTGGAATCCAACTTCTCTGCCTCTTTTCCTCTAAATTGAGTATATAGTTATACAACTTGGTATTCTGATTAATAGAATTCTTGGTAACTGTACAATAGAGTCAACATCACATATTTATGTTTGTCAATCTATTAGATAGATGTCTGTTCCTTTATCAAGACACCCGATCATCATTCTCTTTGCAACAAGTTCCACTGAGTTCTCTTACATAACCCTTGCATTATTACTGTCTTTATTAAAACTATTGTGATAATCCATCCCTTTGAGAGGCACCAGAAAAGTGAGAATAGTTTCATATTGCAGATAAAAAATGTACTTTCCTGTCTTTAAGAGAATGAATACGGGGAGACAGCATGCTGCACACATCCAGGTGTAATCCATCAACAGATTTCTGCTATTTTAATGGTAGTTCTGAGTCACAATATTATTCTTATGTATCTCCTCATAACCTCATGCTGGGACAGAGAGTACAGCATGTTGGATACCTCCTGTATTTTAGTCAATTTTCCTCTGTAAATTATTAGAATGAAAACACAAGACTTTTAAAATTTCCCAATTCTTCTGTCTTGATAAACATATCCAGTGAGTCAAAAAAAAAGCCTCTTAATAAAACAGAATGGTTTTATACTAAGGATCCAGTCAAACACATGCATCTATTCATCCAATATGTGTTGCTGAATGTTCTTTCCATGTGTGTCTTTTGGCAGGTTCATTTTTGTAAAATAGACACATTGTGACATTTTAGTCACACTTTACTGGGTTGAGATATTAGAATTAGAGAACGTCCTCACTATATCATTTTCGAATTTTCTATACAAGAAGTAAAATTAGCCTCAACTATCGCAGTGCAGAGTCAATCAAGTAATAACTTAGAATAAGTTTCCAGTAGAAATTAACTTAAATAAAGCGAAGATGAGTCATCTTTTAGGCTAAGCTCTTAGAATGTCACCTGAAATTGGTATGACTAGATTGCATCAGTGATTAAAAAACCCCCAAATACTATAATTAACTTGGGTGGTGTTTTTTTGGTATTTGATTAAAGTAGCTATAAAAGACTATTATTTTGTGCAATACAATGTCCCTAGTAACAGCATTTACTAAGTTATTTCTCCATAGAATTTACTTCCTAGAGTTAATTTGTTTCTTCTTCTTCTTTTTTTTTTTTTCTTCGGTGAGGAAGATTCGCACTGAGCTAAGATCTGTGTCAATCTTCCTCTATTTTGTATGCAGGACACCACCACAGCATGGCTTGATGAGTGGTGTGTAGGTCTGAGCCCAGGATCCCCAGGCAGCTGAAGCAGAGTATGTGAACTTAACCATTATGCCACTAGGCCGGCCCCAATTTGTTTCTTCTTCAGAATTAAGTTCTTTTCTCAATACAACAATGAGAGCATTGCACTTGACAAGATTCATTTAAAAACATTTTTTCCTCCTGTGATTTTCTGAACAATATTCAGTTTCTAAGAACATTCCATGATCAAAAGCAGAGCAAAACAACCCTCTTTATCTCCTCAGTCCTCTCAAGCTAATATCCCATTTTCTTCTTCTGTTTCATTGCAAAACTCCACACATATTTCCATGGTAGCTTTCTGTTCTCTATTTCTTTTCTCACCTTTTGGTCTTTGGTCCCCATCACTCTACTAAAACTGCACTTGTAGGGATCACCAACACCCGAATCTTGCCAAATCTAGAGGTTCAGTCTTGTTCATTTTACTGAAGTTCTGAGTAGCATTCAGGTTCACCTACTTCTCTTTTCATTCCTGAAAGACTCTCCAATCCTTATCTACGTCTTACCACACACATTCGGTTTAATCCCAGTTATCACCAACTGCTCCATTTCAGTACCCTTTCTCTTCTTCAGTTTGTTCTCAAATGTGAGGGTAACAAGCTAGGTGCTTGCCCCCCTTACAGTTTTTATTTAAACTCTCTTTAGATGGATTACTTTGGATATATTACTTTATCCAATTAATCTCAATTCCCATTTTCAATTTGATATCTTTCTATCTGTATTTCTCTCCAAATAACCACTTGATGTCTCCTTAGGTTGTTGTTAATCGTCGTCAAAAATGTAACAAAATGAACTTAAGATCATGATTCTTCATACTTACAAATATTTTCCCTTCTTTTTTTCCCTATAAAAAAACATGCAAGACATAAGTCAGGTCAGGCTCCTCCCAGTAGTTTATCCTTTAATGCCTTTCTATATTAAACTTTCTAGATTATTCCAGACACACAGTTAAATTTGAATTTCAGAATATTGAAATTCAGAATATTGATTTTCCCGAATATTGCATGGGATATGTTTACACAAAAAATTGTTTCTCTTAAAGTCAGATTTATCTGGGTGTCCAGTGTTTTTATTGGTTATATCTAGCAACCTAAAGCTTAGAAATTATAGCCTTTATGGTCTGCCGTGTTACAGCCTTGACTATATCGGTGAGTGCATCTTGTAACACTCTTTCTCTCCTTATAGTACACAGAAATCAATGGCCTTCCTGCTCTTCAAACGTACCAAGCTTGTTTCCAACTTAAAGCCTCTGCTTTTGAGTTACTGATCCTCTGAAAGTAATAGCAGAAATGGCTAGTAGCTTCTCTTTCTTTGGTTCTCTCAGAGAGTTTTTCACTGACCATCCAGTCCAAAGTAATCTCCCACCAGTACTCTAAGTCTATCTTATCTCGCCTTGATTTATTATTAAGATATATTCATTACCAGGGCTGGCCCCGTGGCCGAGTGGTTAAGTTCGCGCTCCGCTGCAGGCGGCCCAGCATTTTGTTGGTTCGAATCCTGGGCGCGGACATGGCACTGCTCATCAAACCACGCTGAGGCAGCGTCCCACATGCCACAACTAGAAGGACCCACAAAGAAGAATATACAACTATGTACCTGGGGGCTTTGGGGAGAAAAAGTAAAAAAATAAAAATCTTTAAAAAATATATATACTCACTATCAGAAATTATCACGTTCATTTTTAATATTTGCTTTCTAATGTCTGCCTGCACTTCCTTCCCTTGCTCAATCTAGAATAAAGCTCTGTAACCATAGAGATCTTGTCTGTCCTGTTCTCTGCTCCATCCCAAGTGCTCCTAACAGTGCCTAACCTACAACTCATTCTTAAAAGTTCAACAAATGACCAATCCAATGCAATCAAGTAACATTTTAAAATTCTTCTTCCCAACTTTTTTATTTTGAAATAATTTTAGAGTTACCGAAATTTGCAAAACCATACAGGGCATTCCCATATACCCTTAACCTAGTTACACCTATGTTAATATCTTTCATAACCAAGTACAGTTATCAAACCTAAGAAATTAATCTTGCATGATATTCTTAACCACTCTACACACTTTATTTGGATTTCACCTTTTTTCTACTAGTGTCCTTTTTCTGTTCCAGGGTCCAATCCAAGATCCCACGTGACACTGAGTTGTCTTATCTCTTTAGTCTCATCCAATTGATGACAGTTTATCCGTCTTTCTTTAACTTTTATGGCACTGACAATTATAAAGAGCCAAATGTTTTGTAGTATGTTTCTCAATTGGAGTTTGTCTGTTTTCTCATAACAAAGTTGTGGTTATATATTTTGGGCAAGAATATCAGAAGAGAGGTACCTATTTCATTGTGTCATAGCAGGAGGTACATGATGTCTGTAAATCTGTGAGAGTTTCTGGAACATATTTTTAAGCTTAAGTTACTAATAGAATAAATCTTTCTATTTCTATATAACTCTGGTCCATGGATTTAAACTTCAGGAACCCTACAATGGCTTTTGATCATTTATATAAAATGATAGATGCATATACCTATTTATGTGAAATATAAATCAAAGTGAATAATATTGCTTCATAAAAAATAATAAAACGCATTAATTGTTCAAGGATTTCAGCTGAACCCTACCATGTCTTCTTTATGTCTTCTCCACAGCTTTTCCATCCTTCCCTACCTCTTTGAAGCCACTCTTTATTCGCAAGGCTGTGTATATGCAGATATGAAGGAGGAAGTTATTAAAGGAAAACAGAATTTTCAACAGGGGAAACATTTATGGGTTACATGATTTCATGGTAGCTAGTAATATAGTTTAGATTTCACATCTGGTATAAACAAGCCACCAAAGTAGGAGAAGAATCTTTCATTAAAGGCATGTGAGTTTAGTACAAGCATCCTGACACATAGTGAAGTCATCTTGGATATATTTGTTATGAGGAATTCTTGAGATGGTTATAATGCCAATTAGTTTGAAACAGGAATCCAACAGTTCCTGTGGTTTGTCCTACATACCACTTAGTTGGTATACAAGGCCCTGTGTAGATTATGAACCTAAAACTCTGGAAATTGACTCTGCTCTTC